GCCGCTGCCGCCTCCGCCGTCGCCAGGTCGCGCCGCTCGCCGAGGCAGCGCTCGGCGAGCCGGTCGTCTTGAAGAACGTCCAGTACTTCAACAAGCCTCCGAGGCGTGCGTACGCGGCCGGCGGCTCGTCGCAGCCGACGCCGCCGCACCAGGACGGCTTCTACTTCATGATCCAGCCGCCCGAGCAGGCGAGATCATCTCTCCCCATATCTCCCCATATCTCCCATGATCCAGCCGCCCGAGCAGGCGGTGACGGCGTGGCTTGCGCTCGACCCCGCGGACGAGGACAACGGCTGCCTGCGCTACGTGCGCGGCTCGGCCGCCGGCGGCGTGCGAGCGCACCACTATAGCGGCGTGATCGGCTTCTCGCAGACGCTGGACGCTGCCGCGGACGCCGCCGACGCCCAGAACGAGTTTGCGCTGCCCGCGGCGCCGGGCGACCTGCTGCTCCACACGGCGACGATGGTGCACCGCGCCGACGCGAATCTCTCTGAGCAGCGGCCGCGACGCGCCATCGGCGCCATCTTCTACGGCGCGTCCGCGCGCATCGACGCGGCGTATGCCGCCAAGCAGGCGGACATCCACAGGCGCGCGCGCACTTTGCCGGGGCAGCAGGGCAGCGTTGCTCTTGCTGCCGACCCGTGAAGAGGTTTGCAGGTATGTTGTTGCATGTTGGGCAAAAATGATAAGAAGACACACAATACATGTAATCAAAATCACAGTGAATGAATGCGGGCAGCGGGGTAGGTGTGCTTCTCGTTTTTCTTCTGATTCAGGTGGCGTTTATTTTTGCTTGGGCGGCACTCATGCTGAAATTCTGCAAAAACCCTGGCCGGCCCCTGCGGTGCCCCTACCTACCTACCTACCTACCTACCCTACTTATGGGAAACTAAAAAAGAAATCACTCGATGGGTGAAGGTGGGGTACTATACCAACTAGAGTGATGGTTGGTGGTACTCTCCTGCATCCACAGTCCTTCTTGTGACATGGGAGGCCACTCTCAAGCCCTACAAGCATCAGATCACCCATTTGGGGAGTGTTGACATCGTGATTTCCGCGGAAAATTTCTTTTTCTGCTGTGAAAATTTCAGCTTGAAGAGAGGGAAAAACCCGACGGGAGGGCCCAGACCTACCCTACCTACCCCGGCATGAGTGCCGCCCAAGCAAAAATAAACGCCACCTGTCTGATTTTTTATTTAGTCCGCCCCCCCCCCGTGCAGGACCTCAGGAGTGCCCCTCGTCGTGCGTGTGCCTCTACTGCACCAGAGTTTGCTTTAGCACTTGGAGCACTAAAAAGCTCACCAACCGGCATCATTTTTTCTTTTTCTCGCGATGACTGCAGCACGGCGCCGCTCGCGCCGCCTCGCCGCCGCCGCCGCCGCCGCCGCGCACTGCCCCCTCCTCGACCTCCCCACGGACCTCCTCGTGCGCGTCCTCTCTCGCTGCGACCCCGCCGACATCGCTCGCGTCGCGGCCGTCTCGCTCCTCTTCTTCTCCTCGCTTGCGAAGGAGGCCATCCGCTTGTGGGCGCAAGAGCGCGGCTTCGAGCTGCCGGCGCAGCCAGAGGGCGAGGTCTGCGCTGTGCGGTGGCTGTGCTTTTCGGCGCTGCTGTGCGAGCACAACCCGCCGGCGAGGGCGGCGGCAGGCGCTCAGCACAGCCTCTTCATCGACGGCGAGGGGCGGCTCTCGTCGTGCGGCAGCGAGGACTGGTCGCCAGGGCTGCTCGGCCACGGCGAGGGCGTGACGCGGCTGACGACGCCGACCCGCCTCCCGTCGACGCTGGGCGGCGAGCGCGCCGTGAGCGTGTCGGCTGGAGATTTCCACAGCCTCGCCCTCGCCGCCGATGGCAACGTCTGGAGCTGGGGCCGCGGGGCCGAGGGCCAGCTGGGCCACGGTGACGAGCAGATCCAGCGGCAGCCGAAGAAGATAGAGGCCTTTGCGGGTCAGCGCGTCGTCGCTGTGTCGGCTGGGCTCACGCACAGCATCGCCGTCACCGCCGACGGCGCTGTCTGGAGCTGGGGCAAGGGCACAGGCGCTTACCTAGGCCACGGAGAGGACCGGTCGGACCAGCTGCTGCCGAAGAAAGTCGAGGCTTTGGCGGGGCAGCGCGTCGCCGCTGTTATGGCCGGATTGAGCCATAGCCTCGCCCTCACCGCCGACGGCGCTGTCTGGAGCTGGGGTGAAGGAGGTGGGGGCAAGCTGGGCCACGGCGACCAGCAGCGCCAGCTGCTGCCCAAGAAGGTCGAGGCCTTTGCTGGCCAGCGTGTCGTCGCTGTCTCGGCTGGATACGACCACAACCTCGCTCTCACCGCCGGTGGCGCCGTCTGGAGCTGGGGCGATGGACGCCTTGGCAAGCTGGGCCACGGCGACGAGCAGACCCAGCTGCTGCCGAAGAAGATCGATGCCTTCGCTGGCCAGCGGATCGTTGCCGTGTCGGCTGGAGATTTCCACAGCCTCGCCATCACCGCCGACGGCGCCGTCTGGAGCTGGGGCGGGGGAGATGGGGGCCAGCTGGGCCACGGCGACCAGCAGGACCAGCTGCTGCCAAAGAAGATCGAGGCCTTTGCTGGCCAGCGCGTCGCCGCTGTGTCGGCTGGATACGCGCACAGCCTCGCCAACACCGCCGACGGCGGTGTGTTTGCCTGGGGCAAGGGCGATCACGGCTGCTTGGCCCACGGGGAGGACCTGTCCAACCAGCTGCTGCCCAAGAAGATCGAGGCGTGGGCGCCGGCGCAGTGAGAAGTCAACGGTGTGAGGAAGGTGGTGGCCCATGCCAGTGCGCACCCATCTTGAGCTTGGTTGCGGGCGAGTTTTTCTTCTTTCCTAGAAATCGCGGGCGTCGCACACCCGCACCGCCTAACGGAAAACAGCATTTTGGCTCGCCAACAAGCCCTCCGCGCCCCCACACCGTTAGCGAGCTAGTTTTCTTCTTTCCTAAATCGCGGGCGGCGGTTGCCGAGCAAGCGTCGCACCCGCACCGGCCGCCTCCCGCTCTCCCTCTCTCTTTCTGCCGAGTCATGGCCGAGCCGAGCTCCTCCGACGACGTGGCGCTGACCGACATCGAGCTGCTGCAGGCGGCGTGGATCAACGAGCTGCGCGCGCCCGAGCTGCTGCCGCACGAGCACGAGCTAGTGCTCCGCGTCAAGGAGCAGGTGGCGGAGCAGGAGGCGCGGGTGGAGGAGCTGGACGAGCGCGACTCGCTCCTCCGCTCGCTCTACGAGATGGACAACGAGAGGACAAACTACCAGCTCCGCTCGTACCTCCGCACGCGTCTCGAGAAACTCACGAAGATGGCCATCTTCATCGCGCGGCGGCAGGGGGAGGCGGACGCGGAGGCGCGGCCGCTGCTCTCGCGCCCCGAGCAGAACTTTCTCGGAAAGTACCTCGCCCTCTACCAGGACCACATCGACGCCGAGGCGAACCAGTCTCCCTCCGTCTCCCTCCGCTCTCCCTGCCTGCCTCCTTGCTCTCCTCTGCCTCCCTCCTCTCCTCTCCTCTTCTCTCCTCTCCTCTCCTCTCCTCCCTCCTCTCCTCTCTTCTGCCTCCCTCCTCTCCTCTCCCCTCCTCTCCTCTGCCTCCCTCCTCTCCTCTGCCTCCCCAACTTCCCCTCCCTCCCTGCCCCCCGCCCAGCCCTCCCTCAGGGCCACATACACTTTGTTTATCACCCCCCCCCCCCCCCC